TACTGTCTTATGTAAAAACCCAGCCATGAATCAGTCTGCCTGTGTGAGACTCAGTACAAGCCCAGAATACAGAAATGTCTGCTCTCCAGTAAATGCTAAGTCTAGACCAGAGTGGGAGATCCAGATAGCCAGGCCTGGGTGTATGTCACATCTGCTGCCTCTCACTGCACCCACCCCTTCTCTGCTGCTGTTCTTTCCACAGGAAGTTATCTAGCTGCCAGGTTTCCTTTTCACATATATTAACAAATCATCTGTTTTGGAAAACTGACAACATTAGTATGCTCAGGCCTATTCCAGGTAATTCAAGCACAATATCTGTTTAATACTATTTCAAAGTTCCTTCATGCAAACTAGACATCTAAGTCATGACCTGGACTTACATTACTTCCTATAAACTGCTCATGATATAAGAGAAATCCACTTAAAATGTAGGAAAAATATAGTTATAAACAGAGTTGGCAGAAGTGTCAGAACTAGGCACAGCACTAGGAACTACCCAACTTCTTTTGCAGATGGAATACCTCAGTTTGTGTTTTCCTTTACGTACAGTGCCGATCAGTAAAGACAAATCTTAAAAACAAAAACCTTTATTGATGTTTAATTACACAATTCAGATAAACTTGGATTAAAAGCAGTTATTTAACTTTACTTGAAAGAAATAAATCTGTACTGTACCTATCATAAATCATATTCAACAAAGGACGTGGAAAATTAGGAGGTCCCCGAATAGCACAGTCATAGCCATAAAGTTTTGCATGTGACAAATCAATGTAGTTAGACCCAGTAATATTGCCCCAAACAATCACATCTTTAACTCCTGTAACAAAGTGAAGAGACAAATACTTTAAGAAAATGAGCTTCAGAAATCCTCTTCAAAATGAATTATTCAAATCTGTGCCCTGCCTTGCTAGCAGAAATTATTTGATCTGATAACTGCAACCAAGTTCTCCGTAACATATTAAACTTCATCACAAGCTGAAAAAGGAGCTTCAATTTATATCATGTTACTGTAAATAATAGTCAAAATTTAACTCTTAAAACAGTAACAAATCATATTGCAAACATACAGCAGCCTTCCTTATAAAATCCTGTAAAAGCAAATATATAAACAATAAAAGCAATAATTAAAAAAATAAAAACTACCTGCTTTGGTGCAAAAGGATTTTCTCAAAAAACCTGCTGATCGGCTATTCAGCCTATTAACTTGCTTTTCCATTTCATTAGGCCCCAAAATATCTACACTTGTCATCAATGACCAGTTCTAGCTATGCAACACTTACAGAATCCTGATGCTGAGCAGACTGTCAGAGCACACCTTTGCTACGCAGTGCAAAACTGCAAATATAACAAAGGTGTAACAATTGACCTGAAAATGAAAGTTAATTAACCTCAAAATAATATTACAACACAGTTCTACTTTACTGTCATTATCTGCACAGCAGTATGTTGCCATGTTTATTCACAGCTCCAAAATAACAATGCACTACGGAGTGTAAATGCAGTCTTGAAGTCCTAGTTCCCAATCTGCAAAACAATTGTCGTCCCTAGCACATTTCCAGCATGAAATATACATCGGAGTGGCAGGGCTGCATCTCAGAGCAAGCAAAAGACACTCTGGCATTCTGTAAAGCCAAGAAATTCAGTGAGTACACCACAGTGCATTTCTGCATGCATGTCAACTGTGTTCTGGAATGAAATATGTACTCCAGAAGGTTTGCTGAATTCCCCAAATGCTACATAAACATTCACCTGCTGTGTTCACATTCAGCTTCCTGGCCAGCATAGCTTTAGCTGCACTTTCCCAGGATGTAGCAATGGCGATGACATTTTCAGGCCTAATGGATGGGCCATATGTCCTTAACATTGTTGCCTTAAGGTTTGCAAAGGTTTTTCCTGATGAAATTACTTTGACCTCACTCTTGGCATTCTTCTCAATCAAGGGAGCATACACTTGGCAGATCTCACTCACTTCTCTGATGTGGTTCTCACGGGATTGGACTTCAAGGTTTAAGGGGACATCATCAAGAACAATGATAATATCAGCATCAATAAAAGCTTGGTCTATTTTTGTGTGCTCTGAAATACTGTGGAGAAGTGGGAATGCCATGTCTTCAGTTTCCATTACAATACCGCAAAGAATTTCCTTAAACTGGTCAGTGTCAAGCAAATGGATGCTGATTTCTGTGGTCATCCCAAACACTTCTCCATTTGCCAACAGAGGGATCAGATGATAACAGATTGGAACTGATGCGCTGGTTAGAGAGGATGTAAAAAAGTTGCAGTTAACAATGAACCACTGCTTGTTTGGAAGTATTACATAAATACAAAAGTGTTAAATTTTTACTTAATTACATTTAAAGACACCACTAGCTTGCATCCTTTACTGCTCTTTTTGTCATTTTAACAGGTTAAGAATTAAAACAGTTGGGTTCTCCTTTCATTTGAAGGCTTCTCCATCCTGTGCATCTCAACTGATGCCGTCACTTAAAAATTGATGTCTTTATAGAACCACAGTTTTTTAATGTGCTCTAATAGGACTAATAGAAATACAGGAATTTCTTAAAGCTCCAAGAGACTTTACCTACTCTGATATTTCCAACAACACTTAATGCAAGACAGTTGCACTATAAAATTGCTAGCTTATTTTGTAAATACCTGTTTTTGCCTAAACTGATGTGAGGTCTAAATTATGCCTGTTCATACCCCTCATTTGAACAGGTGAACAAAACAATAAATTATTTCTAAGTTATATACTAATTGGTCATAGTGAGGGCTACAGAACCCAAGTCAAGTCATCAAATTACAGGGATTTGTGCTTAGTTTCAGATGGTTACACCAGTTATATGTGATAAGAAAAAGTGCATTCCTCTGAACAGAGTAGAAGTTCACAGGTACTCTCTTCACTCTCACCTGGTAATCCAGATCTGCATAGGCTTGATAAGACTTTTAATCTCTTCATCCTCTTTTACAATTTCAAGATGTGCCTGCAGGTTCTCCTCAGCAATGTCTAACATTTCCTCCATCAGCATCATGGAAGTGATGCCATAATATCGCTACAAACAAAAGGGATGATCTCTAATCAAATGATAGCCCAAACCCATCAAGGTAATTCTAACAATAGCTTTATTTTACATTTGAAAGAGGAAAAAGGAAAAACAATGTTGTAAAACATGGTCTTTCAGTATTAAAGGCAGCTTATTACCTGAGCATATTCCAGAAAATCATTAAGTCCTCCCAGAAGCTGACCCTTCCCTCCACGGTCCAACAGCTCTCTCCAAATGATAGGAGACTGTCTATGTTCCCATCCATTTGTTTCACAAATGTCATGAAGCCACTGCTGATGTAAACATCCCCACCAGATGTTTTAATACATCATATTTGATAACATTTAAACATTACAGCTACAAGCATTCTTACTATTTCCTCTCAATATATAATTACAAGGTGCCTCAGAATTTATGTACCAGTGGGTACAAAATGGGGGAATAACACAAAGCAAGGTATGGTGATACACTGGGATAGCTCACCTCAAGGTCTTGATTTCACTTAGTTGTCTTAGTGGTACAGAAGAGAGCAGTGTTGTGAAGCAGCAAGTAATCTGAGGATTCTTACTCAGCCACACAAGGTAAGTAAGGTGAAGAGGTTAATTGTTTTTCACTGAACTGTTCAAGTTACTTGGTGGAGGTGTCAAGCAAAATACACAAGGTAATAAATACCGTAATACTGTCTATGTCATGGAATAAGACTGCAGTTTTTTCAGAGCCTTATAGGCAGCATGTCTACAGCATAAGTACTCAGAAAGGCCCATCCACACTTTAAACAAATATGTGGTATTTGTTTTTTACTTCCACTGTAATTCAAAACTCTTAAATGCCCCAAAGGCTCTTGACAAGAAACATCTCAGAAGGTATATGTAATCACAGTGGGCAAAAGATTTACAGATTGAACAGTCATTTATACTTTAAAAAAAAAAAAAAAGTCAGAACAGAAAACCAAGCAAGCAAGCAAGCAACCAAAACCACCTTGAACTTTTTCTTGACATAATACAGCTTTAGACTAGTCCACACTTTGTGCCTATCTTCTGTGGTAAAACTCAGAGACGTCAGTTGCTCAAAACATTGTAACCTTTCCTATGGCTGGCTCTCCTAGCCAAAGCTGCTTCTGCAGCACCTCTATCCACACAGCAAACCACCAAGAGAAGAGAAGAAGAAACGTACTACAGATAAGCACATTTCTTGGTTTGTAGAGCACTGGGGCACCTATCGGCGACCTGATTTACAATTCCTTACCTCCCACTTGTCAGGCTGCTGAGTAATCTTGTGAAACCTGAAGTTGGGCAAGTTAGTCTGGAGATAGTCAGCCAGGAGTTCAGCTTTGGCATAGTATGGGCAGTTTGCCTTGCCTGTGAACATAGCAACAGCAGCACAATTGGATGATTTTGTCATTCACCGATAAGAGCTTAAAAGACTGAACGTTGTCTAATGTGAGCCAGCTAAGGAAGGGTAATTCTGCAGGTGAAACAGACTCCCGAGCCAGCGTCCAAGGGGCCGAGGAGCCCACTCCTGGAGGGACAGCAGCAGGGAGGCTGACGCCTCACAGACAGCATGAGGGGGAACTCTGACCCGGGACCGGCTGAGGCTGCGCGCCGTGTGGACGCGGCTCCCGGAGAGCCCCGGGCATGGGGGTGAGCCCGCAGAGAGGGGCAACTGCGGCAAGCACGGCGAGCTGCCCCCGCCCGGGTCCCGGTACAAGGTGCTGCGGCCGGGACTGCGCCGCCCGGGTCCCGGGTCCCCCCTCACCCGCCACCACGAATTTGGCCATGCGCGCGCCTCCCTCCAACGGCCACTTCAGCGTTGCTCAGCAACGCGCCGCGCGCCGCGGCAGTTTGTCCCTCGGCACGCACCGTCCGTCTCGCGCGGCGCGCCGGGAGCTCGCGGGTCAGCGGGCCCGTGTTACGGCGGTGCCGCGTGCGAGGTAACAGCGGCCGCCGGCAGCCCCGGCCCGGCCCTGCCCGGCCGGCGCCGTCCCCGCCGTTCCTCCCGAGTGCTCCGAGGCGCTGCGGAGCCGCCGAAAGGTCTCTGTCCCCGTGTACTGTCCCGGCCTGCTGGGCAGCGCTCCCAGGGTCAGCGGGAAGTGATCCCGGAACCCAGCGGCTTCTCCCCGGCGCCGGGAGAGCGAGCGCCCGCGGGTGTGCAGTGAAGGCGGCTTTCCCTTATGGTATGGCAAGCAAGCTGGGACAGGCTGGCGGGCGGGATCCCGTTACCCGCTGCTGGTGGTCTGTAGGGTCTCTGTGGTCTCTAGAGCCCTGTCGGGAGACGCCTGTGCATGGGGAAAGGTCCTCTAGGAAAAGGCTTTGCTTCCCGGAGCAGGCAGAGCAGCAAGGAGGAAGCAAGAGTTGATGCCCGGGCTGTCCTTGCGCTGAGATGTTTGACTGAAATGTAGGAGACCAAATAAAAGCCTCTCTGCAAACCAGTTTCCGGGGATCTTTTACCAAGTCTTCTCCCTTTTTGTAAGAATGCACAGATTTGGCAACTGAAACGGTGGGAATTGAAAGTCTGGTAACTAATCCATAATTTTCTATTGTTTTTACAGATGAGTGATCTCGTGCAGTTTCTCCAGAACTGTTTCCACTGGTAGAGTCATTGGATCCCTTACTTTGAGTTGGCATTTCAAATCTATTCATGAGGCATTAGTAGAAATGAATAATAAAATAAGTTACTTGTTAAATACTGTTAGATGTGTGCATAGGTACAGTTCTGTGCTCATTCCCAAATCTTCAGCCACAGCAAGAAAACACATTTTGTGGATTGGGAGATACAGAGATCCCTTAGGAAACGTGAACTTCAGGAAACTACTTTTAAATATTTTGCCTTCTCTGCATGGGTCGTCTCTTCGATTTCTATCTCAAAAGACAGATGTTTATAGCACAGGTGCAGAGGCTTTGGTGACTGAGAAGGCTTCCCAGAGCTCCTTGGAAGTTGAAAAGTTGGATGATTCTGGGAGCTTCAAACCGAAGCATGTAGTGAATCATAGTGACCCATTCTTTACCAGTCTCCGGAAATGCACCTGTCCTTCTGATGCACTGGACTTGGCTTCAGAGGCAGCTGTTTCCATTAAGCACTACACAAACTGTTTAACCATGGCCTGGAGGCTCTTCAAGAACCTGTCAGAAGAGCAGCAGCGCTACGAGAAGCAGTTGATCTTTGAGCACCCGGCTTTCAGGAAGCTGTGCCAGCAGCTGCTGCGCGATGCGCGCAGGATGACGCGTGGGGACCTGGTGTTCAGCCTGCATGCCCTGGTGAACATCGGCGTGCCACAGAACACGCTCCTAGTCCAGACCTTGGTGAGGGTGTGCCAAGTAAGTATGAAAATCCTTCTCCTAAATTTGGGCTGAATTACCAGTCAATCATTCTGGGCAGCTGTGCAGCATCAGATAGAGTTGGATTACATCCCTGGTTTAGTCTGAGGTTCCATGGAAACAGTTCCCATATTGATTTGTGTGTCCTTCTAATTTCCTTAACTTTTGAAACCACTGCCTGATTTCCGATTTAAAAGAGAAGTTTCAAAAATCATTATCGCTCCCAAAACAACTATTTTTGCCTGATGTGAGACCTTTTGGGCTCTGCAAAATTAAAACTTATAAATTGACTTTTGAGGGGAAAAAGAAAAGGGCAGGTACAGATTAAGAGTGGTCAGTTTTTCTTTTCTGAAACTTTTACTGGTTTGAAGTAATCCGACATTGTCAAAACTTTTAACAGGAGAAGCTCAATCAACTGGATAACCGATGTATCTCAGTTTTGGCAACTACGTTAGCAGGGATGGATAAAGACAAGAATGTGAGCGCTCTTCAAGCTGGATTACAGTGAGAAAACCACATCTTTTGTGTCCTTTGTATTTAAATGTTTGAATGCATGTCTGTTAGAAATCATCAAGGGTATGTCTACACATAAAATACGGTCTGTGTTTTTAGGATTTAAATGATCATGTGAGGTAAGAGCTGTGTTAGAGAGTGAATTTTGGCACTGTCTTTGCAGTTTCAAGGAGGAGGATTTCCATTGATAAAGAATGCTGTAATGCAGGGTCTGCAGGGGATTGTGTTCTGACTGCAGCTCCACCAGTGTAGTTTTCTTCTGATGTTGATCAAGCCCCTTCACATATCTATCCCTTTTTCATCTGTGTGCAGACAGGAGGTAATGAGACTATCTTGCTTAGGGACCTGTCTGATTTTTCATGATAAAAAACATTGTTTAACAGCCTGGGAATATTTTCTTACAGTTTAGTAAGTGAAAATTTAGGTGAAGACTATTTGTGTCCAGCAAGTCCCTCTGTGTAGTGATTTATCAGAATAACTTTGGTTTTTTTCTGAGCCCATGCGATTTACATGTGTAACCAATCTGCTCACTCCCATGAGATTGATTTTACTGAGGTTATCACAAAACTTGCCATGGATTAGTACTTTTGACCCTGTATCACGTTCTACTTTGAGAAAGTGGATGTGATACCCAAAAACCAGGTTTTCCTGGAAGTGCAGGTACACGGTTCTTAAAACTTGGTAGAAAGCAGGAGTCCTGTCTACAGCTTTATATCCTGATGTCTAGAGCTCTGGCCCATTTGCAGGAATGAATTTCACTGCCTTAGAAGGTGACACTTCATATTTCTGTAGGTGTGTTTACCTGTGCAGGTATACTTAAGGGTGGTTCAGACATAACAATTACAATACCACCCACTGAGCCAGAAAAGGAGGTGCTAAGAGCGCACATTGATCTCTGTGTTATCTCCTTCTGTTGAGCCCACAGCACTCTATTTGGTTTTATTCCTCACTTGCATCCAGTTGTTATCTGGGTCCATTCCTGAGTTTCCTGTCTCTTTCAGAACTTGTCTGCACATGGATGTGCAAGATAAAAAGATAGGATTTTTAAAGATAAAAATGTGCAGTTTTCTTTCTCTGCAGAAGGTTGTTAATTCCTTAGGGCTTAACAGCACTCATATTTGCACTGTCATATGTGCTGTCTGGTCAGGTCCCCCTGCTGTTAAGTGTATCAGCAGCAACATTCATCTATTAGATTAACATTAAGAAAGCATTTATAATTGTCTCCATGTGTAAAATATCTGTGCTAAAGCTATGTCATGCAGAGTTACGTTAGCATTTCAAAAAAAGAAAGATGGGAGAGGAGCAGTGAAGAACAATGGAGGTACTTACCTGTTTCTGCTGAAATGAGGAGAGCTCTTGTGTGTGTTTCCTCATCAGGTTACTAGTGGAGCAACGCATTTCAAGTATCAGAGACATCTTTATTCTGCAAAACCTGATGAAATGCCTGGGGAAGGATGCTCCAGTTTTTCTGAAAAAGAAATTAGAGGTAAAGTTAGTTGGAGGCTCTTTTTTACTCCCACAAAGCCAGTGCTCTTCCATAATTTATAAATTGTGTATAGTTCTTTGCAGACACTGAAAGAGAAAATGTAATAGAAAGGTAACTGTATTTGCCTAGCTATATCTGTAGGAAGAACTTAGATTTGGAGGCTGGTAACAAAAGGCTTTGAGGCAATAAACCAGCAGTGCCCTCCCCTCTTTGGATTGGCCACATGGTGTTTCATAGAAACACAGGCTGTTTCCTGATTCCCTTTCCCAGCCTGTGACTGAAGATGAGGTGACGGAAAGCTGGTCTGTGATGGGGCTGTGTCCAGTAACTGTACAGGGCAGGAGGACTGGTGGGAGCAAGATGCCAGAACTCCCCAAGCTCATGATCTTGTTTTTCTGTGTATCTGATAGATCCCCATGTAAATACAATGGCTGGGAGCAAGCTGTAGGTTTTATGGCAGGGTGTATTGGGTTTTGTCCCCTGATGTAAAAACCCTTTTGGAAACCTTCTCTTGAACAGGGCCTGCTAGTGTTTTCATCACGTAACTGAAGGGCTCTGACATCAGAGGTTTTAATAGCATTCATGAAATATCATAAAACTGAGAGGAAAATAACATCTGCACTTGTTAACTAAAGGGAGCACTTAATTTTCTGAGCCCACAGGGTGCTATTTTTTTTACAGGGCAATGTCTTATGATAGATGCATTTTGTATTTAACCTCTGATATGTATTTTAATATAAAATACTGTATTTTAACAGCTAATATAATTTGTAGTTTCATTTTCACTATCACTTGTATCAATCAAGTGATGGCTTTGATAAGTGAAATATCCTTTCTGGCATCAGAGCTGACCTTCTCTGCCTCAGTCCACATTAGTAGCTGGTTGTTTGTATAAAATACAGGCCACTCACGTACTGTTGAAACACTTTGGAGGCTTACAGTTTCCATGCATGTGCAAAACCATAATTGGACTACTATGAACTTTTAAGTTAACTGTGTCTGTTTTATTTCTGCTACTTTCTTAAGAGTTGGTAGAAGATGTGTATTCACAGTATTTGGAAATGACATTTACTGAGACTTTTTTCTTTTAAAATAACCATATAAAGGCAAATTGCCGGAAACTTGTGTAGTGACACATTTCTAGAGCACTTGACCTGCTATAATTGTGTATTAAGTAATTGACAGTAGTTATTATATGCTTTTACTGTTTTTTGCTTCTTTTTCTTTCATATAATTCTGAACTAAGGACTTTGGGAAAGTTTTGGTGATTATGTCTTCACCAGAAAGCAATGATAATATACCTGAAGAATGAAGTATTTAACAAACTCTGGTTCACTTTAGATGGCAGTTGTGAGAGAAATAGATGGTTTGACTTTTCCGAATGCTCTGCGTATGTTTTTCGCTCTTGCTGCAATGAGTTATTGTTCCCTTCCAATCCTGAATCCCTGCAGTAAAAAGATCCAGGGTAAGAAAAGAATATGTTAATTAAATTTCCCTTCCTTATACCAAATTCTTCCTAATTATTGTCTCATCTCACTTTTCTGATTTCCTTTAAAACTCAGGAAACATCTTTGTTTTACAGGATATTATAGTTATGTGGAGCCATTTGACAAGCAGCAAGACAGAAAATTACTGATCAATAATAAAAGCAAATAGCTCTTGTCATCTCTGCCCTTCTTAACGTTTATCTGAATTACATATTTTTCTTTACATTTTTCTGTACACAAGGTCTATAAAAAATAATTTAATTTTAGCAAGGAAAAGAGATTTCAAATAAAATTTTATAACAAATCTGAATTGGAAATTGACAGCTTACAGGATGGATTGGTGACTTAGTGTGATTAGTTGGTAAACTAAAGGGAGAATAGCATTTCCTTGATTACTGGATTTAATTATTGAGTACTGCTTAAGACTTAACCTCATGCTGCAGCCCATAAAAATATTAAATGAAAGATAATGCTTTTATCTCTTCTCTATACCTTTCTAATACATTGCTTAAGTATATGTGGTCAGTAATGTGTTGATTCATGTTTAAAATACATAAGAATTCGTATCTCAAAAAGCATGAAGGTAGCATAATGGAATTCATAATAGAAATTACTCAGAAGCATTAAGGCTGCTTATACAGTCTTTATTTGTCCTGGTTGTTCATATATGATAGGACACAATGTTTAATTGCACATCCTGGTTTTTCCCATAGGACTTTCACCACACTCAGCACACAGGCCAGGTGGCATACACAGAGGGAGGAGTGACTTTCTTCAGTGTTTTTTTAGTACATGCTGAAAATCAAAAATCCCAGAACAGATGACATCCTGGGAACACAATCTTCTTACTTATTTTGTTAATTTGTCTCCTTTTACTGATTAATATATTGTAGCTTGATTCTGGTTCAGTTGGGTTTCTTCTGTCTCTGTTTCTTAATATGTTTTAGCTCAGTTGAGCTTTGCCTGGCTAGTCACAGTCTTCCACAGTTTCTTATCATATTTTTCCCCTCCTTCATCCCTTAACCAAACTGTTCTCACAATGTCTCAATGTCTTCAACCTACATCTCCCATTGCTTTTTATCATTTGTCCTTCTTTGATTTTTTGTTACAGAAAATGTCCATGATGTTCCATTTCGGCAGTTAATTCTCATTCTGGAAGCTTGTCACACTCTCAAGTACCGTAATGTAAAACTGTTTTCAGCATTAGCAGACTATGTTCATTCTACTGCCTACCTATGGGACAAAAGACAGGTAAATTTTTTGAGACCAAACAATCTGTAGCAGTACAGTAATATAATAATAGAGTATTTGATGCTTCCATCTTTCTTCATGTTTGTGCTTGATCTTTGGAGAACAAATGTTTATGGATACCAGTCTGATGAAGCTGATAGTTACATTTTTTAAATGCTGTTCTATTTATTGGTAAGTAAAGAAACAAAAGTTTTGGAAATTTTGCTTTCATTAAAAATGTCTTCTATGAAGTCAACAGGTAGGATCAACTTCACTGGTTTTCTTGACTTATAAAATTATCTTTTCTTTTAGATAATCCTTTTTCTCTCTGCCTGTGAGACACTTGGCTTTCAGCCTACTGAATTGCTGGATATTTTTGCTGAGAAGGTGACAGAAGACCCTGATTTCCTTAACTTGAAAAACCTTTTGATTGTTCTTCGAGTGTATTCTCGACTCAACCATGTTCCCAGAGTCCAAAAGCACCTGTAGGTTTTCATTTAGAGTGCCTGACAATATGTTACATAGTCATTACAGAATAATGTATTGCAGCTAGTGTTTAATTTTATTTGTGAAGGAGCTCAATCCTGTTTCATTCATCTGTAAGGTAAATTGCTGTCTTTTAATGTTTTTTTTAAATATGATTTTTTTTCTGTAACTGAAAGACTAACCAGGTTCTAGACCGACGAGGCTACTAAATAGATAGCTGTATCCTCAAAGTAAGAATCAAACACTAATGTTTAATAATACAAAATACAATTATACAAGATAATAAAGATTTCTAAGTTGTATTTTTGTTTGAAATATGTATTTTATGTAGCTTTATTTGTGTACTTAGATACTTTTCTTCTCCTTTTGGAAAAGGTTTTTTGAGACTCTTCATAGTTGCTTGAATAAGTACCTGCCTCAGATTTCCAGCACAGAACTGCTGAAGGCAGTGTATTCACTTGGCATCTTAGGATATCTTCCCTGCCGTGCACTTGATGAGTTGCTGCAAAAGGACAGCAAGGATGAACTTACAGCATCAGGTCAGACCTTACTTTGTCATGTTCTTGTTTTAAACAGGATGCCTGCCTGTGTATGTAATTTGTTGTAATTGTGTTAGAAGATAGAAATTAAAGAACAGAAGCATGATTAATATTAAATTTGAAGTCCTCAAGACAAAGCTAATGTAGTGATGGTGATCTGAGTGATCTGGGTCTGCACTGGGGAATCGGGCTTATTGTCTTGGGCCCCATGGTGGCAACAGTTTAACAGTAGGTGTGCACTTAAATGTAGGAAGTCTTTGCAAACTTTAGTACCTGGAGTTGTGAGTAAAAGTGGGATTTGGAATCCTCTGAGTTATAGTAAGGTCCTTGGAATGGTTTGTAGAAGAATTTGGTTTCCACATTACAATTTTGTACAGCTAATAGAGTAGTCAAGTGGAATTTGCTATGCTAGAACAGACTATAAATGATAATAAAATGAAAAAATCTATGGGATAATATATTGCATGTAATATTTTTTGTATCCTTTTTCAGATGATCTTAAAGAACAAAACACAGTGATGCTTCGCTGTGTGAAAACGTGTATGGAGCTTGACAGCCCTTCTTTCACAAAGCCTGCATTTGTGCTGACTGAGAATTTGTCCTCATTAGTATCTCTTAATCTCAGAAAAGCTCAGGAGGCACTGATAGAACTTCTGGGAGATGAGAACATGTTTCGGCAAAATGTTCAGCTGCCATACAGATATCATATTGGTATGAAGTGATATTACTGTTATATTATTTTTAATATGGATTTATTATACCCAAAATAATAAGATGGTAATAAATTTCCATAGGGTGCAAGTGATTAAAAGTTTAACACTTTGAAGATACAGTCTTTTAACAAATGATGTCATTTATTGATGAATTTACTTTTAATAATGCTTCTGTTAAAGTTTTTAAGTCCATTTACTAAAACTTTTATGATTTCTCTTGTTTACAAAACTGCTTTGGACTTTTTTTTAGGCATCAGTAAGCAGATGTTAATTGTACATAAATCCAATGTGGGCAACTTTGAGAGAGTTGACATGTTAGTACCAAATCATGCTAGAAACAAAGCCAAACAGCAGCTGCCTTTTTTTTTCTTTTCTTTTCTTCTCTTGTTTCTTCTCTGAAGTTCTGGCTAAGATTTATGCTCTGCTTTCATTTATGAAATGGGATATGACTTCTTTTGGTTTCTCTTATGTTTTGATATTTCCTTATTGCCTTTTTTTTTTTTTTTTTTTTTTTTTGCCAGTCACCCAGCTTACCAGAGTTCTTCTGTACTAGTAATAATTTTATTCCTAAATATTTCTAATGAGGAATTGGATTGCGGGAAAATCTGAGTAGGCATGACAGACAGTGATCAAGAGCAGTTTCTTTAAGTGATGATTTCACTCCATAAACTTAAGTCTGCAGTTTCAAGAAACTAATTTTTTTCTTGAGATGGGCAAGCTATAGCTTTATATTCATTGCAGGGAGGGAAAAGCTATCAGTAATAATTAAATTATTAGAGAACAGCAATTAGAAACAGACCACTGATGGTGTCTATTAACTTTTTCAAATGAGCTGTTCATTTGAAAACAATTTGAGCAATTAATGAGTTCAAATGGCAACATTAATTTTAACCTCTTGCAGAGTTAAATGTTTTGTTGTTTTGTTTTCAGATTTTGAAATCAGAATGGATTCAGACAGAAAGAAAGTGCTCCCCATAGCTCCCACAGATGATCATCCTGACTCTCATGTTCAGAGGTGTCTTTTTTTGTATATTTTTTCTAGCATGCTAGTTTTATTTGCGTGTATCCCATCCAATTGCTTTGGTTCACTTATTTGCAGAAGCAAAGTAGATAACTCAGTTATTATTTGTGCTCACTGGGCTATCCAAAAGTTTCCATACCAGTGCAGAGCAACAATTCATCCAGCTCCATACCTTCCTTTAACAAAGGCTAACATTTAGTATTTCAGAGAAAGAGGCAGGAAACATCACAGTGATCTGATACTCTTGTAATGAATGCAAGTAGCAATTTTTAAAAAAGTGTTTGTCCAATTAAACATTCAGTTATTCTCTCAAGTCTCAAAAATTTGCATCTCAGTGATATGTTATGGCAGTTAATTCAGCTACTGAAATGTAATTTGAATAAAAAGGATCATCATATCCACATTTTAGGTGATTAATTTAATCTTGTGTAGAAGACTGACCTCTCAGTAACTGAAGCAGGGACATATACCATTTAAGTAATACTTAAGCAGAATTGGGTAATATTTAACATTTATGTGCTGGATCACTGCACAGCAATGTATTTTGTACAGTTTGCTTTTTGATAAAAGGAGAGCTACTGAATTGTGTAACAGAAACTCAGTGTTCCAAGGCATTTACCTTTCCTCACCCTCCCAAATAGGCTATAATGGCAGGAAGTGACTGATTCTGAATATCATTAGCAAAGGATCAAAGTAAATGCAGAATCTGTCAAATTAATGGAGAATGTTTAATGATCTATTCCCTTCTCATTGTGGGAGAAGTGGAGATCTAAGTACCTAATTCTGCTGTAGGTATTTGGGTAGATGCTGGTACTTGTGTGAACCTCATGGAAGAAAAGAATCTAAATTACTTAAACCTGAAGAAGGAAGAGGATAATGAAATTAGTGCAGTCCTGATATTTTTGCCTACTAGAAAGACACATGTATATTCTGCAGTGCTAATGGACATCATTGAATCATTGTCTTATAAATGATTATTCTGCATTTGTACATTGAAGTCTTCTTACTTTCCTTGTTTGCAGGTTGGCTTTTCTGTTTGCTCCTATGTCTGCCTTCTGTCTGGGTACAACACACCCCCAGGGGAACTTGGCAATGAAGAAGCGGCATTTAAATAAACTGGGCTATCGTGTGATTCTGGTGAGAGGAGCTCATTACTGTCTGTTTCAGTTCTGTTAGCAGCACAGTGATGAGTACGTTTGGTAGATCAGGCCTTGTTTTACAAAGTATGAAGGTTCACCAGGAATGGTGGGCTTTCTCCAGAGTGATAATTGTGTATCATTTCTAGTTAGAGGGAGGGACTCTAAAAGACAAGCTACTACTTACCATTAGCAGTAAATAAATCATTGAGGGGAAAAAAAAAATCAAGCCACAAATTGCTTTGTACCTGAGAAACTAATGTATCTTTGGCTTATTTCCCCGATTTTTATAGAATCAATGATTCAAGCGAACTTGTTTTCAGAATACAATAACTTCCTGTGGCTTTTTCATTGTAGAGTGCTTGGTTTGTAGGACAGGGGAGTTTGGACAATAGAAGTAATGTACCTTGTCCTTCTACTTTCTTACAGATCCAGAACAAGAAGTTTCAGGAAATGAAAAATGAAGATGCAATTGAGTTTTTGAAAAGAAAAATTTATTCAGAAGATGCTTTCTCTTTTCCTGAAGCAACTGTGCAGGATAATAATTAAAATAAACTAATTTTGTTTCTCCTGATTTCTCTTTTTCTTGTGTAATTACTGTAAGGATTTTAATAGAAGAGATAAAAAAATTTATACAAAACTGCCTTCTCCACCATATTGCTGAGGAAGAAAAATTTGCAAAATGAACACTGCCTGCTGATAGTGGGGGCTTTCTTTTGTGAAGTGGGAGCAGATTTTCTTTAGTGGAAGGAAATAATTGATCCAAAAAGCACTCTGACATCTATTGCTGTTACAATGTCTTAATTTAGTCTGTACTTTGCTTACCCTCCTGCATGTCCCTGGTCAAATTTCTCTCTTCTCTTGAGCTGGGCCAGGGAAAAGATTTCAAGTGCTGTTGGAACCTGGCCTACAGTTAGGCACTAGAAGGATTTCCTCTCAACTATATAGTTCTTTATGTAGAACTGTATATGGTAAATCAATAAATAACTAAACCTAAGTAGCATATTAAAAGATGCAGTCATGTGGAAACTGCAAAAATCAATCTCCCTCAGTTTTCAGAAGTTTAGGCAGTTAAGCCTGTTTGCTGTGGGCTTTTCCTTTTGAACCCTTTACTTCACTTCTACTGTAATAGATTTTGATGCTTCTCACTGCAAGAACACAGATCTGCTGTGTCTTTATAAGCTGACACCTTCTCTCTGTTTCTCTGATATTAGTAGCTCCACAACTATTCAAAGAGGTGTTGCAATACTCAATTTGTTCATTACACCCTGTGATGCATCTGCACTGACCTGTTAATGCAGTGGTGCAATTGATTATGTTGGCAGAGCTCTAGAACTGCAAAGCAGCTTTGGACCTTAGATAGGAAGGAGCAGAGAGAACTGATACATCTTTCCTCTTCTTGGTAACATGTAAGTGACAAAACTGCATTTTGTTCTGCTGGAGTTGCTCAAGTTGGTAACAGCTTGCTTGTTTCTTGGGTGTAATCAGATCTTCACTCACAATTTTGCTGTAGCAGTCACAGGCCCATGGGCATGAAGGGAAGCAGGGAATCAGCACTACTTTCTACAGTGACTCTGTGCTGCCTAACCGTGGTGCCCTTGCTTCACTTGCTAAGCTACAAGCACTGTGTTCTTTGTCTTTCTGAAGTAGCATGGACACATGGTTAAGGTGCTGCAATGATGATATAAAAAATAGGTATTACAGTAATGAGATAAGGTGGAAAGATACTATATGCTTAGAAAAATTTCAGTGCCCAACTTTTTGTGGAACATGTAGATAGAATATGGTGCATATTTATGTAGGAAGCAATGCTACCAAAACTGCATGGTCACCTCTCTGTAGCATAAAAAGCAGAGAGAACTGTTCAGCATTTCAGTCTCTGAAATGCAGCGCATGCAGAAAAACAGATTTGAGGAAATTGTTAAACTTAACAGCCAGAGCAGAGGTCATCTGCTTGACTGGATGAGAAGTTTGTTATACTCCCTTTTTGGATCTTCTCCTTTAAGGAAGCATTGTCTGTGAAGCAGGCTAGTCTGTGCTGTTCTGTTGAGCTGGACTCGTGGTCCCAACTGGCACTGGAGGATGTCTGAAATATTCTGTGCTGGAGGGCCAGGTAGCACACAGAGCTATGTTTGAGAAAGTACTTGGTGCTGTTCAAGCTGAAAACTTGAAAACCAATACTGCAGTGTCAGCCATGGCTCTTGCCTTGGCTGGGGAGCTGCTCCCTCCAGCTGCTCTGAGCTTCTCAGTCAGGTCCTCAGTTGTAGGTATGTAAATTCAGGGACAGAACACAGGCAGGGGTGCCAGCAGCCTGGACAGAACTAACCACCAGCGGGCACAAAATGGCACAGCATGTTATTAAATTAGCTAATCACTATATATTCTTTCTTAAATGCCTTGTGAGTAGGTAGAAACTTAAGCAGTGTGGAAGTGTAGTAGTCTGTTGTAAGGATCACCTTGCTTACTAAAGTTTCTTGCTCTATGCTCTCTCAATAATTTATGTCATTTCTATGTCATCTACATTGATTCAGAGTTCCAAGCAGTATGTAGCTGCTGCCAGAGACTTCAGAGCTGTGAGTTTCTTGGATCTTTACATATGCTAAAAGCTAGTCTGCTGAAAATAAACCCATATTTTTCAGGTGTCTAACTTATGTAGTAAGGAAGATCTAATCCCCTGTTCAGTGCATTACAATCCATATTTAGAATACCATTCTCCTCTCCTGAATCATTACTAAAATAAGTGGGAGACTCACAATGAAGATCAACAATAATTATTTTGCGTCTGTAATTATGGGGTTTGTCACTGCGTGGAATGCTTGGTGTGGAAGGTGCAAAATCCCCTTTCTAAGCCAAACAGGTACAAAATAAATTATTTTAGCTCACCTGTCAGTGAGGCTAACTATAGATGTAAGCTGCATCTTTTGTAATTTTGTAATTTTTTTGCATCTTTTTCTACCATTTTCATAGTCTGCCTCCAGGTTCATGAACATGTGTTTCTAACCTTTGCTCACACTTGCAACACTTTGTAAGTGCAGTGGCTGGAAATTGTTTCTCAATGAGGAGTGTATGGCTTTATTTCATACTGCCCATGGATGTATCTTATGAATGGATGAAACCCAGACATTTGCTGTCATGTTTGACTGACTAAAGGTACTTAAAGGGTGTATTGAATCTATAGCAAGCCAAGGTTCTCAACTCCATGTGGAATGAAAATAGGTAATTCATTAAATAAACTAAATGGCTGAAGCAGGGGAGGATTTTTCAATGAATTGAAGGCTTATTAAAGAAAGTATAGGGCTTGGAGTAATTATGTATCTATGACTTAAAGACAGGAGACTGAGCTACAAAAAGCAGCCATCTATTTGACCAGACTCTAGGAAGGCACTGTAATTTATTCCTGGGCCACAACAAAGTCAGGAAAGTAGAAGCATATCTTTCCTTCATTCTGAGCTATGAAATACTGGACTTCAGTATTTGTCCTGCCAGTCTCAAAGAAACAAATACTGCCTTTCATGATTCCCGGTTTTCACATGCTCCTTGCTGTTAGACATAATTTCATTCATAAATCTTGTCTTATAATAAAACAGTAAAATGTCATGATAAAACTGGATTATCTGGTAATTTTTTCCTTGAGAATAATGCGTATACTGTTTACCCTGTGAAATCTCCACGTCATCAGAAGGCTGTACATACAAAAGGGTGACAAGGTTAGATCATTGTCATATATCACAAAATCAAAACACTGAGAGAAGGATTTACAAATGCAAGTTACATGGCAAATTTCACAGGCCCAAGGATCCATGTTAAGCATTGCAGGATGTGTGAAGAGGTCTAAAATGAAAGCAAGAAACAGGCAGAAGATGTGGGCTGCAAAGGTCAGGAAATTTCTTGCATTAACAGAAAATAAACAGGTATCATCTGAGCAAAAATGAAACAAATTTTGTGAAGTAATGCAAAATGAGAACAGTGAGTGTTTGGAAAAACAAATTTTCTCCATAAACAGATGGATTTGCATACCCTGATGATTTGCAGTTCTCTCCTGCTTGGATTTCCTCATGTTTAAAACTACTTTTGAACCCTAACTCCAGCCTCAAAGTATGAAATATTCGGTCCACTCATTTCACAAGAAACACACAGGAAGTCTCTTTAGAATTTCCACCGTGGTCTCAAAATGATAAAGATATTCCTAAGTGACTGGGAAAGAAAGACTAAAAGTTCATTGCAAGAGTGTGATTTTTTTTGTTAAGAAATAAGAATCTAAACAAACTGGATCTTGATTTAAAGACTGTTTCTCATGTATTACAACTGTTTCTGCATGGACAAGAGGTTTAGTAATGCTTTGTATGCAGAGACCTAGAAATGTGGCTCTGGATAATTGGTAAAGTGAAGAAAATACTAATTGGCTTCCCCCACCCCCCGGTCATTGCATTGTAAGTATTATTGTATATTGCCATTTGTTAATATTGAGCTATTCTCTTTGCACATAAATGTCAGTGCATGTAAGCTTGCATGAACTAGGTTCCAGTTTCGATACCCCTTTACTGACCCTAGAATATTGGAATTAAAATAGAACTGCAGAGCTCAAAAAAAGGTGGAACATTGACTCCTAGGTGAAATGTGCTGAAATCAGTTATTTCAGAACAAAAGTGGAGCCATAGTTATCTGATTGTTGTGACATGCATAGTTTTAAAGGGACTACGGTACTTAAATGTAGGTTTTACTGAACATGTATATCTTGTGGTATTGGAGTTTTTTGCTGTAATAACCACAGTGATTTTAGTAGTTCTTCATCTCTTTTAACTGATGCAAATATAATGGAATTCGGAACTATGTTTAAAATCAGTCCTTCTAGTTGTAGCAGGTTTTCCCCCTTTTTTCAGTATTTCTTGGCAACAATGATATAAAGTGAAAATAATGACTGTGGTGGCAACTGTAAATAGCCAGCCAGAAATAATAAAAAGGAGAATTTGTATTTGTCTACAGCAAAAGTCCTTGTGTCCACAGATAACCAGTGAGCTTTTTGTTTCATCCTATTTCCACTCTCCAAAAATGCTCCTATGAGTGCTCCAGTAACATTCTTGCCATGGCACCTATTAAAACCTGGATAAACTCTTGCTTTATGAAGCAAGATGAATTTTTTTTTTTAATAAACAGGAGAATTTATTTTCACTTTTCACTGCTATAGGTAAGGGACTCTATCCATCCCTACAGACAGGGGCATATTTTACTGAACATTCCTGATTCTTGAGTGGGTGTCATAGTTTCTTCTTATCAATTCAATCCACAAAGGACACTTCCAAAATCTTCTGTATTTCCCCATTTGATTTTCATGGTACATATTCTGCTGCACGTAAGATGTCACCTGTACTCGATGGTGGTTTACAAAGGTGGTGAAGTATGTGGGGACTGTGGGGAAAGGGGGAGAGGCTCCTCAGCTGGCTTAGATTAAAGTCAGGGCACTGCAGTAAATATACACCAGCTGAGGCAGTGGCTCTACAACTTCAAAGCAAAAAACTTCAAGTGTTAAGTGAGCACAGTAGGGAGTGGCT